GATCAGCCACGTGTATGCGCATCCGCCATCTTAGCCAGCATGGACCCTATTCAATACTGCTCAGAATGACCAGTATCTATTAAGAGCATTCTAGTTGTTCTTACAGATTTGAGACTATCTGCTGTTGTCAATGAGCGCTACGAGTACACCAGCAAAGCATAAATCAAAGTCTTCTTATAAAAGCAGATATGCATCCAGAAAAGGATAGCGCAGCCGCATGGGAAATATAATACGTATCTCTCATTATGCAGACTCCGCTTCGCTAATATGTATAGACGTTCTCTGGCAATAGGCCCCGCGCATTGCGCTTGATACTCACAAACGCCCACACACACACCGCGAACACGTCCCTAAGCCCATAAGACGGTTTTCATACTGACAGTTTTACCGCTGATCCCGATTAACCCAAGTACGCTCTGCTAGAGCGTCCCTCGGTTGAATCCGACACCGGGAGACAGATGACAACCTATAAAACACACACATACATCCTAGAATAAAAATGTCCACATAAGTCCATGTAGTGAAATTTCCACAACACTACTCATGCCTCGTGTTTATAATAGGTCATAATAGTCCATGTAAATTAACATGTTACAATAAAATGATTTTCTGCATGGACTTAGGTCCTCCTCAGGTAAAACCTTGACAGCAAACACCCTCTGGAATTACATCCTCCTCAGACTGCAAACTGGGAGGCAAGGACCCTTCTAGAAGGTCTCCAAATTGGTGAATCCAGGGCCTGCATGTGCTTGTCCCATGGTGATAGAACGTTTAGTTACAATGATCTTAAATGTATATGGGCATATGCAAATGATTCAAATGAGGCACCATCAAGCACCCACCCACAAAGCTCTGGTGAGACCCGCACACAGCCCTGGTGAGACTGCACTCACGTGTACACAGTCCTGGTGAGAATGCACAGCAATGGTGAGACCCGGACACAGCCCTGGTGAGTCTGCACAGCCCTGGTGAGACAGCACCCAACTGTTTGCAGCCCTGGTAATACCACACAGACATAGTGAGAATGCACAGTCCTAGTGAGACCGCAAACAGCCCTGGTGACACCACCCACACAACCCTAGTGAAACTGTGCACTGCCTGGTCAGACTGCACACAGTCCTGGCCAGGCCCCGCATAGCTCTAGTGAGACCCCGCATAGCCTCTTGAGACCCTGCACAGCCCTGGTCAGACCCCACGCAGCCTCTTAAGATGCTGCATAGCCCTGGTGAGCAACATGAAATATGTAGCTATATATTATTCTGCATTGCTATATAATGTATTGCTGAGATTTGTAGTCCCTCTACAGCCTGGGGTCAGTGGCAGAACTAACAGGTTTACAGCACTTTATTTTTAAAACAAAATGTGTTCTTTTTTAACCTTTAGTTTACCCTTATCATCCCTAAATTACACCTTCGTTCCCTTCTCACCTTAAGTATAATGTTCCTGATTTTTAAGTTATATTTTTCCAACCATTTATATGTAAACTTGTTTTATTAATTGTTTTGTTCTTTTTTATTGGTGTTGCATTAAAACATGCAAAATGTAAAAAAAAAAAAACTTTTATTCAATTAGTAAATACATTTAATAAATGTAATAAACAATAAAATCATGCAAGAAAAACAAATCATGCAAGGAAGTTGCATGGATTGCATAAACAAATACATTTAATAAATGTAATAAACAATAAAATAATGCAAGAAAATTAAATTAAAAAAAAGCACCCTTGAAAAAACCTATACATGACATTGTTATCTTAAACAATGTATTGCTAAATCATTAGGCCCACAGGAGAAATGCAAAAATTGCTTGGGTCCATAGGGGGTGTGCAAGTGTGAGAGTTGAAGGGGTTCATTATCAGTACACACAAAGCAATTATGTTTTTTCTCAAAGGATTTTTCAAAAGCTTATATAACACAATAGCCGAATACACATTTGCTTTCTCTGTATTCTGTGGCTGTTTTGTGTTTTTTGTGCTCCATAATTCACTCCCAATTGAACTACCAACTCTTGCTGTCAGTACTGTAAGCTTTTATACAAAATGAGACAATACATCTTGAATCTTGCAACATCGTAGTTACATTTTGTCCATATTCTGCTTTTATTGTTAGCTTTCTACAACCTTTTCCAGCGTTCGAGGTTTAACATCATTGCTAATGATTGAGTATTCATAATCTTTTTGTGCATCTCTTGCTAGAAAATGGAACACATTGTTACATTTCATTCGAGCAGAAAATTTGATGTTCGGGTGATACCTGTTTGTTGATCTAAATCTTCAAATGCAAAGTTTAGATTCTTGAGGATGAGGCATTGTACAACTGTCACTATGAAAAACATATTTTAAATATGCAGAACAACAGATACAAAAGAGATACAATAAAAGAAAACAGTTTGTTCCCTTCACTTCCACGAGTGGCATTATTATTAAAGGGGTTCTAAACCCTCCTTTTTTTTTTGCCTATATCTACTGCTACTGCTAGCAAGCAGTAGATATATGCAAAAAGTTTTTTTTTTTAAACGCTTTAACAGCGGTTTAAACTTACCCCGTTATCGCCGCGCGCTCCCGCCCGAGAATCCGAAGCTGCTCGGGCGGCAGCAAAGCATCTTGGGTCGGGCGCATGCGCAGTTCGGATTTTCGGCCGGGAGCCGAGCAGAGGCGCGAGGTAAGTCAATGCAGACAACGCTGGATCGGAAGTGCCAGCAAGGACAGGGGAGTCAGCGCTGGATCGGAGAGCCGCCGCACCGTTAGAGGGACAGATGAAAACATCAGCAAAGAAGAAGAAGATCGGATTAAGAGACATAATCTAAGGTAAGTGCTGACACTAACATTGGGGGTAGGAAACATTTTTTAATGTCACTTTAAACATTGGCTTTTTTTTATTTATTTGCACTTTGAACATGTTTGAAGTGATAAAACATAGGGCTAATATGTATTTTATTCCACTTCAACTTAGATTTTAACCCCTTCATGACTGAGCTTGTTTTTAGTTTCTTTTCGTTAATGACTGGACACACTTTTGACATTTTTGCTGTGTGATTCTTCCACGTCAGTCATATACTTTCTGACAAAGCGCACCCACACATATTATATATATTGTTTTTTAGAGGACAGATAGGGCTATATATTTATATCACATATGTGTACCTAACGCCTCGCTTAGGACAAATAAAATATTAAAATTGAGAATAAAAAGTTAAAGAAAACACCTTTTCCCCAGTTTTGATTTGTAGTATTTCTTTTGGATAAAATAGCACAGCTAAAAAAAATGCAATAAATGCATTCATTTTTTTATCCTTTATTTATAAAAACCTCACATTCCTAGGATTTTAGAAATGTTTCTGTACTTCTCAGCCTAAAACTAAAACCTAACATTTTAGTCTTTTTTCTTTAAAAGCTAAAAGTGGTCACCTGGCATACAACTAAGGGGTCTATTCACGAAGCTGCAGAAGGATCTGGCCGTAGGTTCGGCCGATCCTTCGGCTAGTATTTTGTTCACTATTTTTTAAACATTTTTTAACATTTTTATTTTATTTATTTAATTATATCAAGCAGTCATTGTAAGTCAATCTCACTATTACTCCTTGATAATTTTAATTATTAATTTTTGGTTATTATTAGGCTGCTTCAAACTTAAGAACAGCCAATATTATTATTACATAGTATCTATATAGCGCCAACAGTTTGTGCAGCACTTTACAATATAAGGAAGACATTACAAACACAATACAATTCAAGACAAGATGGTAAGGAGGGCCCCGCCCCTGAGGGCTTACAATCTAAAAGGGAGGGGTAAGTGATACATGATAAGTTAGCTGCGTGGGGATGAATTGTTTGAGAAATTGATATTTCGGTGGTTAGGTTGCGGTGGGATAGCCTTCCCTGAAGAGATGAGTCTTTAGGGATCGCCTGAAGGCAGTCAAGGTGGGAGATAGACGGACAAGTTGGGGTAAAGAGTTCCAGTGGATGGGAGAGACTCTAGAGAATTCCTGGAGGCGAGCATGGGATGAGTTGATGAGGGAGCTGGAAAGCAGGAGATCTTGGGAAGACCGGAGTGGACGGTTAGGGTGATATTTTGAGACAATGTCTGAGATATATCCGGGGGCAGAGTTGTGGATGGCTTTATAGGTGACTGTTAATATTTTGAATTCGATCCTATGGGCGAGTGGAAGCCAGTGCTCGGATTGGCAGAGGGGGGTTGCAGACACTGAGCATTTGGTTAGGTGAATGAGTCTAGCAGCTGCATGCATGATAGACTGAAGGGGGGCTAGCCTGTGTAGTGGAAGGCCAACGAGGCCTTTTACTACTATAATAATACAATAATAACCTTAGTGACCCTGATCCTGCAGCATTTTAGGATCAGATGTCACTAAAGACTTCTGATCGTTCCCACAACGATCAGAAACCTGCAACATTGTTTCAGCAGTAGAAACATGTAGCTAAATATTTCTATTGCTGAAACTTTAGGAAAAAAAAGCCGATATACATGGGGATTTCCCGAACTATACCAGCTGTCAGAGAGTGCTGGCAAGAGCTGTAAATACCGCTCTGCTCTCACTGTCAGACACCTGAAAGGGATCGGGTGTCTGAAAAAGCTTAACTCTTTCATGAATGGTAACCGCTGATTCTCAGCATTACAGAGCCCCAAACAGCTGATCATGTAAAGTGTACGTGATCAATCATTTGTGCACTTTGTGGTGGGATGTACAGTGTACGTCTCCCATCACGAAGGGGTTAATGATTGTCATGGTTTGATGAACAGATCACTATTCAAATTTGTAGAGATCATTATTATTAATTAGATAGATAGATAGATAGATAGATAGATAGATAGATAGATAGATAGATAGATAGATAGATTCCTAAAATGTTCATACCAGCCTCTCACCTAAAATATCTATCTGTATCGTAGGTGAGACATTGGTATGAAGATTTTATGATACCACATAATCTATTCAATTTAAATATCAAGGTTACTACAGTATTTGCTTGACTCCATTTTCAGGAAATGAATGGTGGAAACATAACCAAAGTAACAGAAATTCTTCTACTTGGATTCAAAAATGTCCAGAAACTCAGAGGCCCATTATTCGTTTTACTTCTTTTGGTGTACTGTGTGACCGTGTGTGTAAACATCTTGATCATTATACTTGTATCAACCAGCAAAAGCCTTCACTCCCCCATGTACTTCTTCCTCAGCCAACTCTCATTAGCAGACATCCTGCTGACCACAGATATCATCCCTATTGTCCTTGTAAGTGTATTGAACGATGGGTTGGTTATGTCCTTCACCGGTTGTATTACTCAGTTTTATGTTTTTGGTGGCTCCGAATCATCAGAATGTTTCATATTAACTATAATGGCTTATGACAGGTACTTAGCCATCTGTAACCCGCTCCGATATACCTTGATGATGAACTTCACGATCTGCCTGAAATCAGTCCTTTGTTCTTGGTTTTTAAGTTTTAGCTTCATACTGGTGACCACGTTAATGCTATCTGCTCTTGAGTACTGTGGTCCCAATGTCATTGACCACTTCTTTTGTGATTTTGCTCCTATTCTAGAACTATCTTGTTCAGAAACTTCAGCAGTTCAATTAGAGGTTGTGTTGTTGAGCATTCCCGTGATGATTTTCCCTTTGATAATTATCATGGTATCGTATGGATGTATTGTCATGGCTATCCTGCAGCTCCCGTCCCACATTGACCGATGGAAATCTTTCTCGACCTGCAGTTCTCATCTGACCGTTGTCTGCATATTCTATGGGACGTTAATTGTGATTTATATACTTCCAACAAAAGGCTTTTCTTTGTCTATAAGCAAAGTAATTGCTGTACTGTACACCATGGTGACACCGATGCTCAATCCTTTAATATACAGTCTAAAGAATAAGGATATCAAATGTGCTATTGAAAATTTTTCTAAAATCTGGGCACATCGACCACTGTATTAATCAGTTGTCATGGTTGTGTTACGTGATAGCTGTCATGGTTGTGTTACTTGATATACAATTCAGTGCAGTAGATTTTGAATGTCTCTTTAGTTACAAATTATAATGTCACTATATTAAGCTGTGTTTGCTAGAACTTGTGGAGGAGTCATGGTGAAACAGTGTATATATATATATCAGTTAAGTGAACTTTATGGAGTTGATTTACTAAAGACAAATATGCCGTTCACTTTGCAAGGAAATTTGAACTTTGCAGGGGAAGTTTGTGAACTTTCACAAAATACACAAATATATGGAAGAATAACTTGAAAAAAAAACCTGTATTTTTGCTCGTTCATGATTGGGTGATGGAAGTCAGCAGAGCTTCACCTCATTCTCCAAACTAAAGGGAAATGTCCCCTGCACAGTGTACATTCCCTTGCATGAGAACAACCTATTTCCCTCTAGTAAGTAAACCCCTATATCCCAACGGTTTTATGGTTTGCTACATCAATAGAGACAAATTAAACAAAAACCATATGAGCTTACTAAGAGGGTTTTTATGTTGACTCAACTTTGTCTTCTTGAAATCTGTTCCAATTTATTTTAATTGTAACTACGGACCTCTAGACCAATTGAACCTAGGTTTTGAGTGACCATAAGCCTTTTTCAATGTCATAAACAAAATTATTTGTGTAGATATTTTATTATGTTCTATGAGTGAATGGATTATGCAGAATCCTTTGTGTTTCATATTCTGTATGTATGTTCAATTAAGTTCTTACGTGAAAGAAGCACAGACGGGGGGCGCTAGTGAGCAGCCAGCCAAGATGGCCGCAATCTAATCTGGCTCCTCCACACCCGGACGTGTGACTAATATTAAATCGCTTTTCTAGCTATCACTTGACCCCGACTGAACAGGAGATTACTCCCGGACATGCGGAGATCGGCGAAAGGAAAGTCCGGTAACTACAAAAGAACACAGCCGCGGTTCCCGGAGACCAAAACCCCGCCGCGCTCTGAAGGCAAGATGGCGCCGTCCTCGCCCGAGCCAGAACAACAGCCAGCATCACAGGAACTTGTGACAGAAGTGGATGGCTGCTCGAACGCCAGCTCGGCAACCTGCAGGGACTCGGTTCTCCTAGACAAGTTTAACTCACTATTACAACGGGAGCTGCAGACGGCTACAGACAAATTAGCGGCCCAGCTTTCCCGATACCTTCCTACTCCCTCCCACCTTCCTTGTGTGTCCCTCCTGTCCCCTGTCCCCCCTATTCTTAATAACTTCTGCTATATCACAGTTTAGCGATGCTTTCGGCTCTGGAGCACAGGGACGGTAGCCCAGATGGGTCCCCTTGTGGTCCAGGGTTCGACTTTGGAGTAACAAGCTCCTGGAGATGACTTATTCACCTGCCATGACTAACTAATTAGCTTCCCTGTGAGGAGGCATTTTATGTATCAAAGAACGAGCTCACTGCACAATGTCTAGACTCTGCTTCTTGACTGTATATCATTTGTGTCAGCTTTACTTGACCTGTTGTTATCTCAGCCACGCTATGTAAAACCAATAAAATACTTTGGAATTGAAAGAAGCACAGACTGTGTATCTGGACTTAGAGTTGAGTATGATGATTAAAATGTGCTATTAGTATACTTTTTTTTAGCTTTTATTTAATTTACAAAAATAATAACCTTATTAAATACTTGTTCCCATAAGCCCCCATTCCCACCATAGCATTACACAAACGTGTGTCGTGGGGATGTAGCTTTCTGCACATTTGTGGGTGCTTGCTTTTTCTTTACATTCTCATTTGCATTGTGTAAGTGTGTGCTTGTGTCGATGGTGTATTGTACATCATGACTGACGATGGATCTACAAGGCTGGATAACATGATTTTATTTTTTAGTAAAATACTTTTTTTTAATGGTCTGTGTTTTATATCCTTTTTTTTCTGAATGCGTAACAAGGGCTACTTTATATCTGGGGCCCCCTTTTTTTAAGCTACCTTAAGTACCTCCATGTCATATCCACCTGGCAAGGGATATGCGCATAAGGCCCTTGTGCCCATTAGCACAGAGACAAGTTGCCTTGCCAGAAGCCCCTTGGCATGATACTTTCCCCATGTTCATGGCCTATGGCCCAGTATGATTTAGGAGAGGGAGAGCTTACACTCGCTGTTCCTCCTTTTCCTGGATTCATGCCTAGATAAGAGTATAGTACTGATAATGAGAGGGGGGCATTTTTTACATGGGGACCCCTTACAAATCCATACCATTACCCTGACACTGCAGCTGTGTGAACTTGGGCGAAATCATTCCCATCAGTGTTTTTGCTTTTTAATGTTACTTTTGGTGGTGTACACATTGGCCTATCAAATCAATGCCGTGTTCAAATGGATTTTATTAAAATGATAAAATAAGATCTAAAAAGACAGAACAAGTTCAGAAATGAGCAGAAAAAAGTGAAGGGTTTTGGACAAAAAATAAATAAAAACCAGGAGAGACTGCAGGAACTCAGTTTGTACAGTCCTGAAGGAAATGGGGGACATGATTGAAACCTTTAACCACTTCAGTTCTTTTCTTTGTAATGTACAAAACAAGAGAATAAGTTACCACCACATTGATCTTCAAATCACAGAGCAAAGTGACGTTTTGAGACCACACAGGGTCCCTTCATGGGGCAATGTGATAACAAGTGAATAAGCCATACCAACCAATATGCACCAATTCAGATTGTACACTAGCTGCCTCTTTCTTTTCAAGCCCTTCAAACTGACACATTTTGGAGGAGGAGGAGCTGGATATTAGAGATGCATCCTAAAAGCTTGAACTTGGAGAATTTTAGGACCTATCTCTCATGTACAAAATCCTGAAGTGATTAAAAACATGAAGGTTGTGAATGAGGTTCAGGAGGGCAGTATTTCCTATATGAAGCTAAGATCAAGAACAAAAGGAACGTGACCTCAAACTAGCAGTTAAATAAAAAAGAACACCTGAAGCATGGTCAAAATCTGGTAGACTACTAGTTCAAAGCTATCACGATTGGGCCAAATCCGTAGAAGTACAAGAATCTGAAGGCGCCCTGCCTGTAACAACAAGGGCACCAGGTCTAAAAGAACACCAATCCCGTAGTTACATTTTTAGACATCCCCTATCCCAGCAACCAAGCACCATCTCAATGAAGGAGAAGGGGGACTAGGGGAAGATGCAAACAGAAACAACAAAAGAGAAAAACATCTCTTGCAAAAATCGCAAGCATGCACCAGTCTAGACACTATCAAGCTCTATAACTTATCGGTCAGATCCCTTACCAACAGTGAAATGACTTTGAATTTCAAAGTATACACTGCTCAATCACCAAAGTCAGACAACACTGATCCAACCAGGCACATCAATCAGGTACAGGATCCAAACATACGTGCTGGCGTAACAAAATCCTGAAATTCCAACATAGAGCCACACATCCGACAGTTCATAAAACAAATGACCACCACTACCATTTTTTCAAGTACAAGTACTGATACTTGTCCAAGTCCTCACAGCTAAAAGTACTGATACATTTTTGTTTATTGTCATGTGACACTTTTTTGAAAACAATACAGATTAATGATTTCAGGACAGTGGTGGAGCGCCAGAGCCAGGTCCCAGCTGCAACTTCTGCAACCCTGGTAGTTCTCATAAAAATGGCAAGTATCGGCACGAGTATCTGAACTGGTATCTGAACATCCCTAGTAAGAACCCTCATCCCATGTCCATGTTTCTTGCACAACTCTATATCTGATATTCTACTGACCACAGACATCTTCCCAAGCACAGTAGCTGGTATATTAAGTGACATGCAGTTATATCCTTCTCTGACTGAGGGGTCTCTTTGGTTGGTAAGTTTGCAAAAATGTGCCAGTATGATGTGTGTACTTGCAAAACTTGCTTACCCACTTGCAAGTGGACTTCACTTTTGCTTTAAATAGTGGTAGATTTTAGCACTTACTACATTGTATTGATACATTAATAACACTGTAAGAAATAACCACATTTCATGAGATAGCAATCACAGTTATTTTTAGGAGTCTGCTTTGGCTCCAGAGACCAATTGTATTCATACACATGAGTATTGTGTTATGATTCTTATAAAGCCTATATAAACGCATTTCTGAACCAACTGACTGGTTCTAAAACGGAATCTTCAAATTTGGTTCACTATCAAGATGATGACACATGACACAGTACGTAGATCAGACCTTTAGTTCACCTTGAGAGATCAGCGCAGTCCCAAATTTATTTTGGTTAAGGTGCAGCAAGTATTGTGTATTGCAGTGCAGAATGACATTTCCTTTTTTACAAATTAGTAGTCTTAAAATAATAATAATAATAATAATAATATTTTAAGGAGGGTAAGACTTTATCAATTTAAAACATGAAATAATTGTGAGAACAATTTATACATTGCCGAAAAACTATAAGTGAAACTTATTTATTTATTTTTGGTATTTATATAGCACCAACAATTTACATAGCACTTTACACAGCACACATTCACATCAGTCCCTGCCCTTAAGGAGCTTACAATTCAAGGTCCCTATCTCTCATACGAGGTCCCATTTAGAGCGGAGCCAATTAACCCACCAGCATGTCTTTGGAGTGAAGGAGGAACCCCACACAGCACGGGGAGAACATGCAGAACTCCTTGCAGAAAGTGACCTGGCCAGGATTCGAACCCCTAGTGCTGCAAGGCAGAACCGCTAACCACTATGCCACTGTGCTGTCCAACAACCCACTTAAACACTTTCAGATAGTGAGCTCAGGTAGTTGTAAATACAATCACCAAAATCTTACATAACAATTAACATTCTAATGTAATTTCAAAAGTTGTTGTCAATATTATTTAATCTGTAGTTTTCATTACAATAATGCCTGGTGACTCTGCTACCTGGGCATTGACATGCCTATTTAAAGTGTATCTAAACCTGAAGAACAAAAAGCTATATTTTGCAGCTCACTAGTCCTCAGATATGGTGGTTGTAGTTGTTTCTCCTGCAGAGAAGAACTCTTGCTCTTTGTGTGAAAACCGTGGTCTCTGTGCAAAGTTCTGACAGGCCTGCTGGGTTTCACCTGAAACTCTGCAATTATCAAAGATTATGTTTCCCGTTGATTAGAGAGCTCTAGCTCTGACTCACAGAGGACGTGTTGGACCTCTGAAGAGAGACCACTGCTTCTACACAAAGAGCAAATGCCCATGCTGGAATGGTGTAGGCTTTTCTACTCAGGATGTTGCTTACTTAAATAAACAAACTGCACAACTTTTGTCTTAATGCAACTGGGATGTGTTTAGCTAACTTAAACCAAAAAATCAATTGGACTATAATAGACAGAGTTCAGACAGCTCCAAAAAAAGGAACAATGGAATTAAATATGAAGGATAAAGAAATCGGATGTAATGTAAAAAAAAAAAGCTTAGAAACAATGTATATTTCTCAAACATACTAACATAATTCTTAAATCTGCTTGAAACTTCTAACAGATAACATTTGACAGAAACCATACCCAGGTCTCTGAGATTATTCTCCTTGGATTTCCGAATCTCTACAAGCTCAACAGTCTTATATTTGTCCTGCTTCTTCTAATTTATTTTGTAACAATTAATGGAAATCTCTTGATTATCACCTTGGTAGCCAACAGCAAAAATCTCCAGTCTCCCATGTACTTCTTCCTCACCCAGCTGTCCATGTCGGACATACTGCTGACTACTGATATTGTCCCCAACACACTAGCCAGTGTAATGAATGGGGGGATTGTGATGTCACTTGTTGGTTGTATCACCCAGTTCTATATCTTTGGTGCTTCTGAATCCTTAGAGTGCTTTATATTAACTGTGATGGCTTATGACAGGTACCTGGCGATTTGTAATCCTCTCAGATATTCCTCCATAATGAACTATCCATTGTTTCTGAACCTGATCCTTCTTTCGTGGCTGCTGGGTTTTTTCTTTACACTAGTAACCTTGATAACGATATCTACTTTAGACTTCTGCGGGCCTAACGTCATTGATCATTTCTTCTGTGATATAAATCCCATTTTGGATTTGTCTTGTTCCGAAACATACACTGTTCACATGGAGGCTCTTTTACTTAGTGTACCTGTAATGGTGATCCCTCTAATGATAACTCTGACATCATATGGGTGCATCGGTCAAGCTATCCTTAAGGTTTCCTCCAAAATTGGCCGATGGAAACCCTTCTCTACTTGCAGTTCCCATCTGACTGTGGTCTGCATGTTCTATGGAACTCTTATTGGAATATACATGCTTCCAACGAAAGGTTTATCTCCGAATATAAATAAAGTTATTTGTCTGTTGTACACTGTGGTGACACCGATGCTTAATCCTATCATATATAGTCTACGAAATAAAGATATCAAAGAAGCTGCCAAAATGATACTATTATCCAATAAATTCTATCATAAATAACGGGATGTCAGCTATTTTAACAGTTAGCAGATGTGTCAGGGCAAGGAAATTGTAGCCTAAAAGTAACATTGGTTGTCTTTGTTCTATTTTACATTTGAAAAATACTCATAGAATTTAGGATTTCTTAAAATGTATGTATTTTTGTTTATTTGGACACAATGCAGAAAGGTTAGAATCTCATTCCTGTTTCTAATGATGATTCACCTACATTGCTGTCCTGGTGACCATTGTCTCTGGTACAGAAAGTGATTTGAAATCCAATACTTTTGAGTTGCCGAAGGAAAGAAGGTGAGGGGAAATCTTCCAATAGTTAAACTTGTTCCGGTGACAACTGTCTAACAGGGGAGAACCCCTTGCTTTAAAGAGTTCTCTTCACGCTTCCTGCTGTATAGAGAAAATCCATGATCACTGCTGAATCACATTGTCAAGCTTCTATTATGTTAATTAGCTTAATATCTTTCTTATTGAACATATTATAAAATGTGCTTCATCCATAAGCTTACATATATATCATACACAATTATAAAGTTGAAACATCATACTGTATATACATATAATAAGTTGTGTGAATAAGCAACATATGGAACATTTAACATTGCAGGTTGGGGTAACTAGAGTTCATGTAGAACATTTAGATCTTATTGGACAAAGTAACAAGAGTTCAATGATAGAAAGTTATAAACAAGTTTTATGACCTTGGCTTAAGGAACAATAGGTCTCATGCCAAGACAACTGTCCTCTAACCATGATTTGGTGCAGTCTTATCAAAAGTAGAAGGTTCATCTAATGTTCTTGGCAAAAGTACTATTAATATAATAGATACATTGGTTAATAAAGAGGAAAAAGTATTATTCTGAATACCTTTTTTTTGTCACTGTTTTATAGTGTCCATGTGACTTCCATTTATAGTTTTATTCCCACGATCTGAGGGTTGGGGGGGGGGGGGGGGGGGGGTGATTGGCTTTTCTTCCGATGTCACATGTTTAAAAAATAAGCAGTAGAGTCCTCTGCTGTAAGTGGAGATACAGAGATGATTGACATCCCAGGGCACTCCCTGCCTACAGCACATAGCAAAGAGTGACTATGCTGTGGGCATGTCAGTATTGGGAGGTGTCTCAGCAACATTCTGACTATGGGACTTACAGGCACACTGTACATGGGCACGGTGTCCTTGAGCTCTCTATTTAGAGATATGCAAACTGAACATGCTAGGACAGATTTATTTCTGTACCGAGCAGAAATTAACACAGAGGGAGAGGAACTGACAGGATCACCCGGTCTTTGCTAGTAAAACAGAGTGTAGTGTCAATGGACAAACATGCTCCAGTTAGTTTAATAAAATGCATTACTTAAACAGTATAAACAGCTTTAAGGGATACATACACTTAGGGAAAATCTCTCTAATAGGACATCACCAATCCTACCCCAAGACAGCAAAAAATAAATTGAAAGGAGTTTTAACCCTTCCATTTGCTATCAAAAACTACACAAATTTTGGCTAAACATACACTTTAAGTGAAAGTTAAGTGCACATTTGTGTAATACTTTGAATTTTGCTGAAGTGAGGGCGTTATGTTTTATAATTTTGAGCTACTGAGCTCTGTAAGCGACAAGCTTTTTTTCTTCTTCAATAAAGCCACCAAAGATAGGCCAGAAGACTTTAGAAAAAGAGTCAGTGATTTACTAAAGGCAAATTAGCTGTTTATTTTGCTGGGTAACGTGCACTTTGCAAGGGAGGAAGAATGAGGTGAAATTTCACTTTGCAAATAATAGCCAATCACATGCAAGGAAACTGGAAAAAACAGAATTATTGCTTGCACTTGATTGGATGACGGGAGTCAGTAGAGCATCAACTCATTCACTAAGCTAAGGGGAAACCCCCCCCCCGCAAAGTGAACCACCTACAGTATCTGCCTTTAGCAAATCAGCCCCAGGGTCTCCAAGCAGGCTGGCTCATTTCACATTTGCTTGAATAAATGAACATATTACATTTTTAAACCCTTGCCATAATACAAAAATACTAAGCATTCCCACCAGTATTTTTGAATTATATTCTCTCATAACAAGCCATTTTATTCCCAGTGTAATTATAACTCTGCAGGGTCATTAAAATATACACATAAGAGGCTTCTGCTTTCTCTGTGATTATCTCTCCCTTGACTTCCTTACCTAAAGTGTTTTTTTTTCTCTGCTCACAAATATATAAAAGCAAGCAACAGATCTTTTTATAAAAAGTAACCCTTGGAATGTTGAATCTCCATGCTGAAGCCATTTTACATACGTAAGACTCGGGTCTACCCTTTGGCTATGTTACCTGCTGTGACATAAATGCACCAAGCTGGGCAAGTAACTCCTCTGTTCCTTTTAGCCACTTTGTTCTAATGTGTAATTTCTTGAACGCAAGATAAATAATATAGCTATTTAAAATTGATATTTTATCAGTCACTGGGGGGGATTTATCAAAACTGGAGCAGACAAAATGTGTAGCAGATTTGCACTGCAGCCAATCAGCTTCTCTGTCTCATTTTCAAATCTTACCTGGGCAAACTGAAGAGAGATGCTGATTGGTTGCCATAGGCAACTGCTCCAGAATCTGTTTGCTCCAGTTTTGATAAATTCCCCCCACTGTATTACATTCTATATACATATTAAACTCAATCCCCACCTTTGTAAGTGATTAGCATTTATTCTGGTAATCTAGAGGTGCAGTGATGATGTATATGTGTGCACATATTCATGACTTTTTTAATTTTTAAGGACTTTTTAGGAGGCTTGATTCCAAAAAGTTGAACAATTTCTCGACAGGAAACTCAGTCTGACACTGGGTTCCGGTGGACCATACATGTGTATTGTTTACAATTGTAGTCTCCACTGTGACAGGGTGACAACACTGGTGAATAATTGGGAGACAAGAACTGTTAAGGAACAAAGAAACCAGACAGAAACTCAAGTGCAGATTTAAAAAATAAAAGGAGTTTTTTGAAAACAAAATAAATGCAAAAAACAATGGAGAAAGTCCAGGATGTTGTCTGTGCCAAGCCAGAGGTCAGATGCCAAAGTGGGTAGTCAGCCAAACCAGGTCAGGGAACACTGAGAGCAGGATGAATGGAAACAACAGCTGTAGTTAGGAACCAGGAGATCAGTCAGCCAGTGCCAGGGTCATACATGGAGAACAGAATGAATGCAAGGACAGGGACTGAATGGACCAGATGATGGTTAAATAGTGAACTGGTGTTTGCATCATCACTCAGAGATAGGAATTTGTCAGAGGTTTTGTCACTAGTTGCAGAATGATGTTGTGGTCAAAAAGGGAGCCAAACAGGAACAGCAGTGTCAGAAACATTGTGCAGGCCATGCTGCAAGTAACAGGACAAGGAGGGGTAAGAAACCCTGACAAGAACCGAGTGTTGTCACCCTGTAACAACCCGAACAACTGGTGCTAGTTGTATTGACAATTACAAAAAGATTTTATAGAACGGGTTTACATATACTTTAATATTTACTAATTCTTTTTCTATGTCATCACAGAAAATGAATGCGGCCAACCAAACCACAGTAACCCAATTCCTTCTTTTGGGATTTCAGTATCACCAAATCCTAAACCCTTATCTGTCTTTCCTTTTTTTGGTTGCCTTCATTTTGACAATATTTGGAAACCTGCTCATCATTATGTTGGTGGCGAAATCCGAAGCTTTGAGATCCCCTATGTACTTTTTCCTCAGCCACCTGTCATTTTCCGACATTTTGCTGTCGACAACCATCACTCCAAAAATGCTGGACATTGTGAGAAGTGGAGGGGGCTTCATATCTGTCACTGACTGCATCACTCAACTGTTCTTCTATAGTGGGACTACGACAGCAGAGTGCCTCCTTCTCACAGTGATGTCCTATGATCGATATCTTGCTATCTGCAAACCTTTACATTACAACTCCATCATGAACCTCACACTTCAACTATGCCTAGCCACCTGGCCCTGGGTCATCGGGTTTTTGGTAGCATTGTTATTAATTGTGTTTGTATGTCATTTTAAATTCTGTGGTCCCTACATCATGGACCATTATTTATGTGACCTTGCTCCAATTCTAGAGTTGACTTGTTCCGATCATTCTGTCTTGGACATTGTCGACTTTATCTTAACTATACCTTTCATAATTTTTCCATTCTTTTTCATAACATTCACATATGTCTCCATTTTTCTCAACATCCTTAAGATTTCCTCCTCTTCTGGCAGAAAGAAAGCCTTCTCAACCTGTAGTTCCCACTTAATAGTGGTGAGCCTGTACTATGGTACTTTGATGAACGTCTACATGATCCCTTCCAAAATTTACTCTTACAACATCAAGAAGCTGGTGTCTCCATTGTACACCATGGGAACCCCTTTATTGAATCCAATCATTTATAGTTTGAGGAATCAAGAAATAAAAATTGCATTGAACAAATGTATTTCTTTTTATATACAAAAGGCTAAGTTTGGCCATTTAACACATAGGTAGAAATCAAATCTTTGAGCTATATGGTGACAGCTATCATGAAGTTAAAGCTTGCATCCCAGTAGTATATGCATTGGATGGATTTTGCTTTTTGAGGACACCAGTAACCATGCGTGTGTATTTGTACATGTGTGTGTGTGTGTGTGTGTGTATCTCTTCATCAAACTATATTGGTATTTATTGACCCCCAATCCTTCTGGCCAATATACCTCTGTCTGTGAAGGTTCTCATTCATCCAGGTAATGGTATATCTGTAAAAAAATAAGTCAGTGCAACTGGACTTGCTGTATTTTTCTTGAAGACGTTTCACTGGTCATTCAACCAGCTTTCTCAATTCAGAATGACTTGTACACCAATGACTACACCTAAAGGAAAAAGGTAACTTCTTTGAAGACAGTCAAGTACGCATCCTAGACAGGGAGGAGATAACAGAGTATGTGGATTGGAACGACATTCACCATATTTATTCCCGGATCATTCTGAATTGAGGAAGCTGGTTGGATGTCCAGTGAAACATCTTCAAGAAAAATACAGCAAGACACAAGATTTTGCAGTTTGTCTGGGAATTGGTGCCTATTTCACCAAAACAGCATTTGTGAAGTCATGTTCTGATGTTGGACAAGAAGACCTGCCTCTCGATCAGCATTCAAGTTCAGCCCAAAGGTGTTCTGTGATCTTTAGGTGTATGGCACTTGAGTTGCGCCATTACCCAAACTGGTCAAATCACGTCCTTATGGAGCTGGCTCTGTGCACAGGGGCACAGTCATGTAGGAACAGGCAAGGGCCTTTCCTCAATTGTTGCCACAGGAGAGGAAGCACATAATTGTCTAAAAGGTCTTTGTATGTTGAAGCGTTAACAGTACTCCTCACATGGAAACACATGAACTCAAACATTTGGAGGGGGTGACCACATGCTTTTAGTCATATAGCTGGGTGAGATGCTCAGTTTACCACAAGCCTTTGGCCATAGAGTAATATAGTGTATGAATTCACTAAAATCCCTTATAGATTAATATGTTAACATGAGATTCAATCTTACATATTATCTTAAATATTATGCAAATGTGTCTTATTATGTTATGGGTTTTTACCCAAGCTTTATTATTTTGACCCACAGTAACAATGCTGTTTGATCCATTTCATGGCTTTCACCATATAACTTTTCAACCTAATCCGCCATACTCCTAAAAGCATCCCAGTCACAGCATAACATTTTCCAAACCAGACATACCTTTGCCTTGCAAGTTGGCGCCCCCTCTCCCCATCTGCTCCTTTTTGGTTATAAGGTATGCCTGGTTTGGGAAATGTTATACCCCAACAGGGTCACTTTCTTTGGAGCCAGGTGTTTCCAGTTCCTTTGGTCACTTACACTTTTTATACATGATGTTTGGATGCGGGATTCCTTTGTATATATGTGCATAAGATCAACTCTCATTGTGAGTATTTTTAACCATTTTTTAACTTTTTATTAAATTAAACTTATTTCCTTGTATTTGTTTTTTCATGTGTTGGAAGATTTTCCTGTTAGATGTGGTCAGCTGTCTTCCTTGAGAAAAAACTATTTATGTGAAAAACTCCTCAATCCACCACTAGCACCGACTAGTGTACATATGGTGTTGTTATGTTTTTGTTATTTCAACTCTAATAATAATAATAATAATAATAAACCCACTCTGACTGCCTTTTTTGGCAATCCCTAAAGACTTGTCTCTTCAAGGAAGCCTATCCCACCTCAACCTAACCACTGAACCATCACTTTCTCAAACAATTCATTCCCACACAGCAACCTCCTCATGTATCACTTCCCCCTCCATTTTAGATTGTAAGCTCTTAGGGGCAGGGCCCTCCTTACCATCTTGTCTTGAATTGTATTGTGATTGTAATGTTGCGATGTACACCGCAACACTGGCACCGATCAGCACCTAGTTTCCCCTCCTTTCTTCCACAAAGGCTCTGTGTGTGACAGGAAGGGGAGGCCTGACTGCCCACTGCAGCCAGGTTGGATACCTGTAATCAGTGTGATTGGTCATAGCAATAACAAGGTACAATGCAACTTCAAGTGGCTCTGCACATTTTGCCTATGATCAGCACTGCCCCGTTGACAAGCACCATTGCAAGCATTGTTTATAGTTGGCATCCCCCGACATCACATGAAAATTGGTCTGTACATTTTTTCTAAAAGAATCGCCATCCGCAGCCACCTCAGCGCCCCCCCTCCCCCACACAATATATGGGGCTTGTGCAGTGGGACTCTCTATTTCATATTTTCTAAAAGAAGAACATTTCAAAATAACCACTCCCCCTAATGGCTAATTTGACTACAACGGCTGGTAGTGGTTAATATGACTTTATTGACATAAGCAAATTTTTATAGATAAAGCATTATAAACCCATTCCACAGATAATTATACTCTTGTGGCCTTTTTACGAAGGAAGCTAGAATTCTCTTTGGGATTTGGTTGCCTCCCAATCCCACAATCAACAACATTTTTGCTATATATACAGTTTCGCAGGTATGATATATTACCTGAAGATACATGATTCCTAAAACATGAATATGACTCTAGATGATCTCTAGAATTTACTGGGACTGTCACTTTTTTTTTCTTCTGGTATGACCAAATAATTATTGCATCAACCTATCTTTTTATACTAAGAAAAACTAGAAAATAATTGAAAAATAATTTGTAATTTGGTCATTTGTTTTGATCAGATAAATGTTTCTACACACATCCAATATCCACAAATTTGCTAATTGCATTTAATTGGGAAAAATGTATCAATTCTGGGGGAAAGTTGTGTGACTCTTGTGTGATAAATGGAACCCATATTTTGCAAATTGAAATTTACGTTGACAAATTCATTTAAATTGAATGTAAGAAAATAGTAAGATCAATAGATAAACACAATATACAACTAATTTGGATACAAATAAGGAATACCTGCATATTTTTGGTAAGCAAGCAAACAAGTTTGCAGTCAATCCTCAAAAACCAAACCCACTTTGTTTACACTTTTAAAAATTTGCCAATGTTTCGGTAGTCTTGCAAAAATTCTACATTATTTACATTATAATAAGGTGCTACTAAGAAAATATACAATCAGGTATTTTAAAATATGTGATGATGTACTGGTAATTATATGTTCAACAATTATCAAACATTGAATTTGCAGGCCATCGTATGATGCAAGTTGTAATTGGAAGCCAAGAACAGCAACAAAATAACAATTGGAAGTTTTTTCAGTTAAAATACTGGACAGGAAGTGAAGATGCACTGCACACTACATTATGCTTTTTCACCTTTATTTTGCATATCTTATGTTTAAGGAAAGTGTACTTTAGACACTGGGGAAGTCCACTGCCAGGTTGCCAGACCTCAAACACCAGTTTGGCTACAAGAGAAGGTAAAACTGAGAAGCTTCAGCTGAAAGAATGAATTATTGCCGAGAGTTCAGCGAGGGCTTCTTGTCATGAATATGTAAAGATTTGAATGGACTCAGGCCACAGTTCTACTTTAAAGAATAAACACACTTCTCCTATTAGTAAACCACAAACTCCCTAAAAAGGTTAAAATTGATATTAGAAAATGGGGATTTTATGAAATAAAGAGCAATAGTTTGAGTTTAAAGATCTTTTTCAGAAAACCCCCTACCCTACCTTCCACTACCCTTTAACCCCACCCTCCACCCAGACCAGTGTGCTGTGGGCACAGATCTCAGTGATGGATCGCCACTTTCTACTCCTGGAAGAGATGCTCTGATGAGTTACTGTATGTGACAGTCAATTCAGGTGAGTAGAAAAAGTGCTACAGGGTTATCTTAAATTTGTGAATGGGGGTGACAGATTAGGGTAGGAGCACAGTCTTTGATTGGAGCTAGGCTTTGAAATATGATTTGTGCACATAAATATTTTATGATGTCAAATCAGAATTAAAACAGACCTAACTTTATTGAATGGAAATATATGTTCCTTCTTTCCTTTACTCAAAATCATCCCCTTTATCATTAGCCAATGGCAGTACTGGACATTCCTGACTCTGGTTCTTGTGTTCTTCTGGCACTTGACCACAGAATCAGAGCGAGCCCTTTCCATCACATAATTAATGATTGACTGACCCTGATAGAGCATTTTCTGCATACAGATGTTCTCTGCACAGCAATACCTACTTAGCATCATAGCGCAATAGTTCACAGAGCGTCTGTCATATAAGATAGCATAGAGAAGGAAATAAATGGTGTAAGATACAAAATTACTTTTAAATGCACCTCAAAAAATATATTATTTCTATCTTCAGAAAATGACCAAAAACAATCACACGTCAATTACTGAGTTCGTACTTTTGGGTTTTCAAAACCTGCACAATTTTCAAAGCCTCCTATTTCTCCTCCTGCTTCTTACGTATGTGTTGACCATGGCTGGAAACTTCCTCATTATCATGCTGGTAGCATCTACCGTTCAGCTTTGGTCTCCCATGTACTTCTTTCTTTCCCACCTTTCTTTTTGTGACATCATGATCAGTACAAATGTGAGTCCAAATGCCCTACAAGTCATTCTTATAGGCCTATGTCACATACCAGCTTTATCGTGTCATGCACAGTTATATTTCTTTGGTGCCACTGTTATTACAGAGTGTTGTCTACTGTCAGTAATGTCATACGATCGATATTTGGCCATCTGTGACCCTCTGCACTACTCCTCTATTATGAAGCACCCTCTTCCTCAGTTCTTGGCTTCATTATGCTGGATTGTTGGTTTTACTCTTTCAATGATTACACAAGTTCTCATACTTGAATTGGACTTTTGTGGTCCAAATGTTATTGACCACTTTTTCTGTGACCTTGCCCCTGTTTTAGAGCTTGCCTGCTCTGACACCAAAAAAGTTGAAATTCATGTTTCTATTACCGTCTTTATTATTGGCATATCTCAGTTTCTCTTTGTTGTTGTTACATATATTTGTATCTTTACCTCCATTCTCCAAATGTCTTCTGTCTCTGGCCAACAGAAGACCTTCTCTACATGTAGCTCCCATTTGGCAGTGGTGTCTACTTTTTATGGGACTCTTATAACACTTTATATGGCACCGACAAGAGGATATTCACTGAACCTAAACAAAGCTTTATCTCTTCTCAACACTGTCATAACACCACTGTTTAAACCGATTATTTACAGCCTACGGAATACAGAAATAAGGAATGCTGTGCACAAACTTTTCTTAAGCAGAAACTCAGCTGCACAGAAATAAATAAAAATGGCCATTTACTTAATGATGAAATATTATATATTGTACATAAAGATATATATTTTTTCCCCTAATTAGAGCTTGGGACTTCCTCCTTAAGAGATCAGCGATTTCCAGAAATCCAGCGAAATCCAGATTTTCCCCCCGCTAGGCACAGGGGCCAGTTCCTTGGATGGCGCAGCGCTCATTTTACCCCATTTTGCTCGGCTCTCACAGTAGGAGGCCTATGGACCCTGTCCTCGCTCATGGACACGCCTGAACAGGTATCGGGACACTGGTTGGAATATTTCCAACTTAGGGACTTTTATTCCACTCACACTAGAAAAGGAGATCTACACAGAGCCCTATCCCCATTTGAGCGTTTGTGTGTAGACACTGCGCCGCCAAACAGGACCCTATCGACTATTTATGACCTCCTGCTGCAACACCTTTTCTAGGACACCGCTAGATATTTTGCAGACTGGGCTGCGGACCTGTCCTGTGTTTTTTCTAGTTCAGACATTAATAAATCGCTTGCCTTCACACACAAAATATCAGTGGCCAGTAAGGCACAGGAACGCAATTTTAAAATTTTATCCAGGTGGTACTATTGTCCAACCAGACTCCGAGCTATATACCCTCAGACTTCTGACCTGTGTTGGAGGTGCTCATTACAACCTGGCTCCATGTTACACATATGGTGGAGTTGTGCTGGGGTTGCCACATTGTGGACCTCCATCTTCTCCACATATGAGAAACTCACGGGCAGGGGAGTTGAGGGTACCCCACAGCAAGCCCTTCTCTCTATGTTTCCTGGGATCATATAAGTCGGTCAAAAGAGGCTTACTCCGATTCTTTGTTCTGGCAGGTAGGGCGGTTATACCGAGGCACTGGAAATCCGCTATTAACCCTACCCTGAAGGAATGGATTGAAGAGATGCAGTCCATATGTAGGACTGAGGAGCTCACAGGCCAACTATACGATCGCTATTCCCAATTTTATGGAATATGGAGTGTATGGATTCACTTCTGCACCACTGATACATTTCGTACATTACTTGACACCTGAGAGACCTGGACCACCTGAAAGGAGGACCTAGGAGTATTTATGGAATATTGGGAATGGACGGATCCTCTTTCTTTCTTTCTTTCTTTCCTTCTTTCTTTCTTTCTTTCTTTCTTTCTTTCTTTCTTTCTTTCTTTCTTTCTTTCTTTCTGTATCTGCTTTTGTATTGGTAATATACTTGGCTAGATCTCTGGCCTCCCTGTTTCCTCTTCTTATGTCCTGTACTTACCTTTTCCTCCTCAAACTTTGCTTTCTTCCCACTTCTCGCCTCTTTTCTGCTTTCCTTTTCCAAAATTACAGTTGATGCACTCTATGGTACGGAGTATGATCCACACATTACGACTCCTTTTGTGGCTCTTTAGCAAAGTGCCTTTGATTCTGAGAATGCTATTACTTTAACTCTGAACTGGGATATATATGTAAGAAGAACGACCAGGACAGGCATGGTGTATTTTCTCAGGAGGGGGGATGTCAATAAGGTCTTTCAAATACGTACCTCCATTAGGTGCCACGCTATTACATCCTTGTGCAGATGTTGTATTGTGCTGTAATGTCTTTTTATTTCAATTTTTTATTGTATGTCTTCTTACTTGTATGTGAAATTATCTTCAATAAAAACATATTCTTTATAAAAAATAAAGATATGTTTTGCAAAGGTGTATGATTAATCAATTATACCAAGCATGTGCTAATGATCATCATTTTCAGATTTAGGTTAAAGCACAGTCATTACCTGAAACAGAAGCAGCTGTGTAGGGGACTTAAAAGTGAGTGAGGAACAGCCAACCTCTGTTACTAAGGTGAGGTTGTGGAAGACAGTTTCATAGCACAGTTTATACATCATGGCAAGACTGAGCACAGCAAGAAGACACAAGGTAGTTATACTGCATCAGCAAGGTCTCTCCCAGGCAACAATTTCAAAGCAGACTGGGGGTTCAAGATGTGCTGTTTAAGCCGTTTTTAAGATGCACGCAGAAACGGGCAACACAGAGGACCGTAGGCACAGTAGTTGGCCAAGGAAACCTAATGCAGCAAACAGGGCCGGATTTACTCTCCCTGCTGCCCCGAGGCCAGGCTCTGCACTCCCAGCCCCCGCACGCCGAGACTCCCCCCCCTTCCCATCAATGGAGAATGTCAACCAGATGGCGGGGCAGCGGGGTTAGTGTCAATTTTTTTTACTGTTGCTTTATTTTTTAAAAACTTTTTTATCACTTTTAATTTTTTCTTTAATTATTTCTTCTTATTTTTTTAATTTGTATTTAATTATTTCTTCATTGATTTTTTTTTTTAGATTTTCATTTATCTTATTTACTTTTTTATAATTTTTTTATCTTATTATTGTTTATTTTTTATAATTTTCTTATTTTTTAATAATTTGTTTCTTATTATTTTTGACTTTTTAATCACCTTTTATTTTTTTTATTTAAACGGCGACATCACCGAGTTCACATGTAAATGAAAAATCGGCTTCCCTCACTCTACATTTAGTCCTGCTTGTACACAGCAGGACTGAATGTAGAGAGGGCAACTTCCCCACAAGGACACCGCTGCCGCCCCTCTGCGCCCTGCCGCCCCGAGGCCCGGGCCTGGGTGGCCTTGTGGGGAATCCGGGCCTGGCAGCAAATGAAAGACACATCATACTTACTTTTGTTTAACATCAAAAGATGTCCAGAAGTGCCATCAGCACCGAACTGGTGGAAACCAGTGGGACCCATGTACACCCATCTACTATCCGGAGATGTCTGGCTAGAAGTGGTCTTCATGGAAGAATTGTGGTGAAAAAGTAATACCTCAGACATGGAAACAAGGCTAAGCAGCTCAATTATGCATGAAAACATAGGAATGGGGGGTGCAGAAAAATGTCAGCAGCTGCTCTGGACTGATGAATCAAAATGTGAAATATTTGGCTGTAGCAGGAGGCAGTTTGTTCACCAAAGGGCTGGAGAGTGGTACAATAATGAGTGTCTACAGGCAACAGTGAAGCATGGTGGAGGCTTCTTGAAATCCTGGGGCTGCATTTCTGCCAATGGAGTTGGATATTTGGTCAGGATCAATGGTGTCCTCAATGCTAAGAAATACAAGCCATTACTTATCCATCATGCCATACCATCAGGGAGATTGGCCCCAAATTTATTCTGTAGCAGGATGACCCTTAACATGCAGCAAATGTTATTATGAACTAACTTCAGCATGCAGAAAAACAAGGAGTTCTGGAAGTGATGGTTTGGCCCCCAATGAGCCCTGATCTCACTCATCATGGAGTCTGTCTGGGATTACATGAAGAGACAGAAGGATTTTAGGCAGCCAACATCCACAGAAGATCTGTGCTCAGTTCTCCAAGATGTAACCAGAACAACCTACCTGCTGAGTCCCTTCAAAAACTGTGTGCAAGTGTAACTAGAAGAAGGCAAAAGGGGTCACTACAAATATTGATTGGATTTGGATTTCTCTTCTGTTCATTTACTTTCCGTTTTGTTCATTGATAAAAATAAACTATTAACACTTTTATTTTTATTTCTGAAAATATTCTTACATAACTGCATTTTTTTCAAACCTGCCTAAAACCTTTGCACAGTACTGTATGTTTATATAATAAAGCTTATATATTTTGTTGGGGTATACACAGATTGTGATGTCCTTGTTGACAATTTTCTTTGTCTACATATATTGCCTATTATCTTTACTTTATTTAAAGAAGAACTATGAGGTGAGTGATTTCCACTCATCCTCATAGTTACAGCTGACCTATGACAAAGAATCTGTCACAGGCTGGCTCTATTGATCGGGAAGTGAGCAGAAACATGCACCGATCTGCTCACTTCTTGATCGTTTCCCTGCAGTGAACGGTGACTTCCAGTCACTGCTCCCTGCAAGGATTCCCCCTCCCCTCTCTGATCCTCCAGCGCTAAGTGGAGGAACGAACAGCGGAGGGGGCGGCAACAGCAGGCTCTGCCTCTAGATAGCCTGAGCCAGCTGTCACTCATGCAGATGGGTGGATCTCAACAGTAATGTCGGGATCAGTTCTGGCTAAGGCGCTCACAGTACATCACGAGCAATAGCACACGATATACTGAGCTTTGGGTCACGGGAGGACACTAGTATATGTCCTCCCGTGACCATAAAGAGAACGATGGGGAAAACACTTACCCCATAGTTGTCTTTTAATTGATTAAAAAAATTGCCTTTAACCATTGTTTGGGTCCGCAAATGATTGAAATGTCTTATATTGTAGGGACGTTGTATAATTCAAATAACTCAATCAATAAACTGAATAAACTAAAATACAAGATTCTCATACATTCTTTTTTCCATAGAGCTGTAACAAATGCAACTGAGCTGTCCTCAAAGCCTGCAATTTTAAACAATCAATAAATTGTATCACTTAAAGTGTATGTAAACCCTGATAATGGTTTGTATTATCTACCATTAAAAACATTGTGTTATATCATCAGTGCAAAAACACCCCTTTTCAACATAAAGTGATGTCCTGTTGTGTGTACATAATGTAGTTTTATCTTAAGTAGTGTTGTCAACCCTGCCCAGTTCACTTCTGTTAATTACAGAACACCTCCTCCTTATATTATTGAAATAAGCAGGAAGGGGTGTCCTAGGATGACAACGCTGCTCCTCTATAGATTCATGACAGTGAGTGTTGTTGTTCTAGGAGAGTAAGTTTGTTATATACAGATTGTGTGCCCCAAGCCAGATATTATAGTCTGGTGCTCCAAGAAAAGGGTTAGTAACTCTATATCAGCAGCAACCTCTTCTTGCTATGTTGAAACCAACCAAAGACAGTGGACTTATACACTGAGTGGCCAGATTATTATGACCACCCCATCAGTACTTCGTTGGGCCGCCTCGTGACTCCACGAGATTTTGAAAGGTGATGCGAGGAATCTGACACGGCACTGTTGCCCTTCTGTTGTCTTGTACCAGTCTTGCCACTCTCTGTTCTGCCC